TCCACTCAGAGAGTCCAGATCTAAATGAGATTAAGATTTGGAAACCTCCTGCAGATAAGATAAGGGTTTACCCTTATCACTTAAAGGGAATTCTGATCCAAATATGATTTGGATCAGCAACTCCTAATRGGATTAGGAGTTGATCCCTTTAAGGTTACAAAAGGAGGAGGCGGCGACAGCCTTTTGACACACTTAACATCCTATCTTCAGAGCTGAAATCACAGAAGGGAGAATTTAGCAACCCTGCGAAATTCTTTCTTGCCGCCTCCTTCCTGCCGCCGCCTCACCTCCCAGTTCGATCTCCAGTTCAGTGGGAGAAATCAAGATTGGATCTTGATATCAGTTCCTTGTGAAGGGACTAATAGGAAGTTGTGCTCACGTGCCATCCTGCTAATTATTGTGAAGGATTAGGTTCTTGGGAAGAACACTACTGATTCTGCTTCATCTTGCATTGCGCCATCTTCAGTGGGAGTAATCTTTGGATCCTTCCTTGGGCGTGAACACCTTCGTTGGGAGATGTTATTTCTCCGTATCAGGTATATCCCTCTCCTATTTCTCCGTTCATGGTTCAAGAATGATCCTTGAAAAATATGATTTTTCTAAAATAGGGAATGCGATTCCTAGTAGAATGGAGAGAAATTTTTGAAATTCGCCCATTCTATTGCGCAAGATTCAGGCGTCCATACGATGGATATCTCATCCCTTCTGTGGTATCAGAGCCATGTTCAAGTCTTGAACCGAATTGGATCAAATCTAAACATGCGCAAATGGGTAGAAGGCGTTCTACTTGATTTGCGCAAATATGAGGTTTTTTTGGAAAATTTGTTTCCAGTTAATGGACGATTAATCTAAAATTAAATTTTATAAATCTGATTATTCTATAGAACTGTTCTTTATAATTTTCTTGATTTATGGGTTGTTCGTACACATGGAAATCAAAATCTTGATTGGTGCAGGGAACTTGCGATTTTGTAGTTTCTTGATTATTTTATTACATTTGGTCTGTAAAATAATTTTTTTTAATTTTAGACTAAATGTATAGGTATTCGATCTGATGTAATTATAATAGAAATTAGGTTTTCTATTTAATTTTTATTTTGGATCGAAGATGGCAGCGCAAGGAAGGAGATTTCGCAGATGGGAGAGTCGCTATCTGTGATTTGCAGTTTATGAAACTGTAAACTGTGATCTAACCTCTGTTTTGCAGGATGGATTGTGCGAACAGCCCTATCTAACTAATTCTTGTTTTTCTTTTATCAGTATTTCAGATTAATTTCTTAAATTAAATCTTTAATTAAAGACCAAACCCTAGACCCATTCGAACCAAATTGGTCCAAACTGGTTGGACCGAATCTAGGGTTCGATCAAGACTGAATGTCAGCCCTAATTCTCCCACTAATGGGCCTAAGGATTGATAATTAATTAAATATTTAATTCGACCCAACCTGTAAAGGCCCAGTTTTAATTTGTTAAAACTACTAAAAGCCCACTTCACAAATAAAGCTATATGAACCAAATTGATCAACCCTAATTTCGGCCCATAAACCTAGATAATATTAATGGTTAATGTTATGGGCTTTACAGATATTAATTGATTGGATCAATTCTTTCCTGCATGTGATGTATAGATGTGTGATGTGCTACGTACATGGGCCATAAGTGCTTGGCCCATGTTGATTCGATAGTGGCTCTTGCGCACATCATTGCCATGGTGTCCCTAATGGTCATTGGATGACCTCCCTCAGTGGTGGGCCCCACACCTCCTGAAGAGGATACGTGTGGAACCCTAGCCGATTTGGGCCCACCAAAATCTGGCTTTAAGAAAATCAGTGGGAGCCACTTTGGTTTGACCTAGATCAAACTAGGGCGTAATTTCTCATTCCCTCCAGCAAATATGAGTGCATGTGATAGGGAGATTCATGTGATGAACTCTCTAAAGGCCTTCCATCATTAGCATGAGGATGGGTCCTTTAGTAATGAGGAAACACACCAGAAAATGGGCTATCCATTTGCTGTTGGGCTTGTCCGAGTGTTTCATAAGATGATAGAGGCATCACAGACCAATGTGGGAGGGGCTTCACCAGAAAATGGGAACTCTCTCACGGTACATTGCCGTTCACGAATATGATGGGTGAGCACTAACTGGATAAAAAGGTTTACCTAAAAACAGCTCTGAACCTTGTTTGATAGAGGCCAAAGGGAAAACTCATATGATGAGTGGATATGATCCTTCACAGAAAGGTGGTGGGTTTTGCAACTGAAACAATTGGCTCCATGCACCCTATGTGGTTTCCCACATTTCTAGAGACAAGTCGTTGTCTCCGTCACTGAGATGGGAGGGAAATCTCAGAGATGAACAAATGGGAATGGAACATAGATTAAAAGTCATATCTATGTAATGAACATGAATCAAATTAGGTTGTGGACTAATGTTTATTGTTTTATCAGAAAATGGCAAACGGACAATTTGCAAAGCTTCTTGACGACAACAAGCTTAAGGGCCCGAACTATGCCAATTGGTACCGTAACCTCATGCTGGTCCTAGCATCTGAAAAATTGGATAAGATTGTTAAAAATCCTGCCCCGGAGCG